CCCTGGAGGTTCGGGTTGGAGCCGCCCCGCCCCCGCCCGCCCCGTGGGGCCCAGAACTTGGGGCCCACCGAGAAGTGCTGAGACGGGGTGCCGGCTCCTGGCGAGCTGCGATCGCTCGGGCCCGGGACGCGCCCCCGGGCAGGTCGGGTGCATCTTCCCGGGTGTTAGGGGCAGGAGTGGGCGGGGAGCAGCCGCCCCGGGTGAGCGGGAGCCCAGGGCTCTCGCGCTCGGCCCTGGCGGACCTCTGCTGCGGCGTCCGCTATCGTATTCAGGTAGAAAGGATAAGTAGGCAACACCGAACAAAGGAAGAACGTGTGAGCCGTCAGACCCCACTGCAGCGAAGTTAAAGCGCCCCGAACGTCCGCGGGAGCCGCTTCCCGCACGCACGCCCGAGCGCTGCCCCGCAGTGTGACCCCCCGGAGCGGGCGCGCCAAGCTTCGCGCCGTGCGCTGCCTGCAGACCGCACACGCTCGACCCCGACTGGCACTGCAGCTTCGCATCGCCGCCTGCACGCACCGTGCTTTCAGGACGCCGTGCACGTCGTGTAGAATAGGCCGCGGGAGACAGTCTTAGGGCACACTTCCCGAAGTGGGGCCGCGGGGTGGCACCGAGGAAGCCTTTGCTGTGATCATCGAGCTGCTGAGCTCGCACCCCAGGGAGGCTGCACCCGGAGACCCCTTGCCACAGTTCCCCGGGGCCTGTTGTGTTGGCTTTGTGGTCAGGGCCATGGCTGGCAAGTGCTGCTCCCATGGGTGGCTTTGGTGTTGAGTAAGATGAGGCCGCGGAGCCCACGCCCAGAGGCGGCAGCTGTTTGGTGATCCTGCTTTTCCACTGGTTTTATTACACCTTTTTAAATTTCCTGTTTTTTTGTGTGTGTGTTTGTTTTCTCTTAGGGCATCTGTCTCTGCCTTACAAATTTGTAAGAACATTTCATATTAATCTTCTGTCCCTGATGGACTGATTTGGCTTTTACATTTTAAAATGAGGACAGAGAAAGTTCAGCTTTCTTTTCCACTTATTCACACTCAGATCCATCACACACATCTGTGGGGTCCTTTGCCCTTCAGGAACTGTAAGAGGTGTACAGCTGAACCTAAGAGCAGAATAATGGATTTTTTTGGTGTGTAATCAAAATTCTTAGGTATGCCACAGAGAAAGCTTAACTGACTTGTAGCTCAGGGTAGTCTTAGAATTTGTGAGGGAAATATAGAGGGTTCTGAGTAGAATACAGAAAGAGGAGGGGGACAAAGGTGGAGGGACTCTGCCGGCACCCTAAACACTCTGTAGTTCCCTGGCAGCTTTCCTGGGATTCCAGAGCCCCTGACCAGAGATTCAGAGTATCTCGTTTAAAGTTAGGAAATGATAAAGCTGCCTACCTCCTATAAGTAACTGTTAGGCCTTTGTCATTTGGCTCCTCTACTTTTTTTTTTTTAAAATCTTTTTGAGACAGGGTCTCACTATGCAGTTCAGGCTGGCCTTGAGCTCACTTTGTAGCCCAGGCTGGTCTCAAACTCACAGTGATCCTCCTGCCTCAG